ATTATATAGAAGTCAAATATACATATAAATTTATACATATATATTTTTCTGTATTTGATATATTTATATATACACATGGGGGAGCAAAAAAATGATGGGAATTTATTTATAAAAAACTGTGTATTTATTCTTACATGTTTAAACTTCAGCCACCTTCAAAGTACTCTCCATATGATATAACATATCTATTGAGATGTTTTTCTCCACTGCTCAAAACAATTTTTGAACTCGTCAATTTTGATGCCTTTTAGTGCTTCTGCTTTTTGTTTTGTTTTTTGTTTTCACCTCTTCCACATAAGCAAAACTTTTCCCTTTTAGGATGTTTTCATCCAGGGAAACAAAAAAAGAAGTCTCTAGGGGTGAGATTGGGTGCACAGGAAGGGTGGGGCACGGGAGTCATACCATTTTTTGCTCTAGAACTACTGAACACTCGGCACAGTGGGGGCAGGTGTGCTTGTCAATCATCCAGTATGAAATGGGCAATCTCACTGAGAGAGTCTTCAAAGGAAATTCACTGAAGCCAAATGTAGCCTCTCACAAAAACTCCAGCGGACACACTGATACAGATGGGTCGCTAGAACACACACCTAGTGGAGGAATCCTGTCCTACAAGGGCCCACCCTCCAGAAGATAATTCCAGTCTTCAGGGGATATATAAATGCATATATATATTTAAAACATCTCACATTTGATCCCTAGAAAGCCCTTAGTAACAATGGATACAAATCTCAGAGAGATTTCCACATTTGCAAAGATTATTGAATGTATGAGTTTGCTAGGGCTGCCACAGATAAATACTACCCCCTGAGATGCTGAACAAGAGAAACTAATTTTCCCACAGTTTCAGAGGCTGGAAGTCCAAAATTATTGTGTCCCCAGAGTTGGTTTCTCTTGAGGCCTCTCCCTGGCTTGCAGGTGGCTGCCTTCTTGCTGTGTCTTCATGTGGTATTGGCTCTGTGCATTCCTGGTGTACACCACATTCCATGTGGTATTCTGTGTATTCCTGGTGTTTCTTTGTGTGTATAAGTCTCCTCTTCTTATGAGACCACCCAGATTGGATTAAGGTCCACTTACTGGCCTATTCTAACTTAATCACCTATTTAAAGGCACCAACTCCAAATACAGTTATATTCTGAGGTTGGACTTTCAGGGGACACAATTCAGCCTAAATCTAGATCTGTGAAAGGCCTCTTGTGTGTGTCATGTCTGTGTTAAAATAAACTCATTACAGTGTCTCTATGAAAGCAAACACATTATATTCTTCATAGAGAACAGTTCAATATGAATGCAAACAAGGCACCGTGAACCAGAATATTCCAGCTTTAAAAATGTTACGAGGGAGAATGTAATATAAAATAGCAAGGGGTTCTGGAAAGACAACAGCAATGGTGTTATTTTGGGTTGGCCAAAAAGTCTGTTATGTTTTTTCCCCAAAATAAAGGACACATTTTTCATTTGTGCCAACAACTGTACTGATCTGGATATTTTGAGTATGTCGGCTGTCTCCCACTATTGGCATCTAGTGGGTAGAGGCCAGGGCGGCTGCTAAATATTTTCCACTGCATGAGACAGCCCCACAGCAAAGATTTATTTGGCCGAAATGTCAATAGTACCAAGAAACTTCACAAACCACTTCTGACATGTTCGACCAGTCATAGCACATTCTCCATATACTGCTCAAATCTTTTTTTGCATTTCAGTTGCATTTTTACCTTTCTTGAAATAATAAAGCATAAGATGCCAATAATACTGCATATATCTTCTTCCATGTACAGTATTAAAATGGCTCCCACAAAATTCACCAATTTTGATGAGTTTTTTTCTAATACATGCTGATATAACAGCTGTCACAATACAATCAACAAAATTGTTTCAAATGAAGTTAAAGACAACTAAGCACTACTAGAGCCATTATACTGGGGAAAAAAAGTAACAGAGTTTTTGGCCAACCCAATAGTTTCACAGTTTCCTGATTTTCCCAGAAGCACAGGTAGAACAACTATAATATAAAAGGCAAACCCTGACACACAACATCTGTAACATGATAGCCATGTACATGAACATGAAAATAGGAGCAGGCAGGTATAAACTACTGACATTACACACATTATTAGTATCTGCGTGTATGACAGAAACAGTGGGTAGAGGCAGGCAACCAGAGTTCTGATGGATTTGTGAAATAAAAACAAAACTGAAAGCATTAGAGCAGTCTGGGCTGTATGAACCCTTAAAATTCACCAACAAAGCTCCTTTTCAGAGCAAAAGCTTATACTGAAAAGAATCTCCTGGGAGTATAATTCAAATAGAAGAGGAAAGAACAATAAAAATAAAGCAAAGAGATGGTGCAAGTAATAGTGGGGATACAACACTCAGGGCACAATCCATGAATGAAAAAAATAAGCTGGACTCCATTAAAATTAGAAATGTCTGCTCTGTGAAAGGTGCTATCAACAGAATGAAAGGACAAACCACGGATGGGGGAAATATTTGCAAAAGACATAGCTAATAAAGGACTGATATACAAAAAATACACATAACATAAGCTCCACTAGAAAATGAGCAACTTGATTAAAAAACTGCAGAAGATCTGAATGATACCTCACTAAAAACTATACACACATGGCACATAAGCATGCAAAAAGATGCTCCCCATCATATGTCATGAGGAAATGCAAATTAAAACAAGATACAACTGCACACCTATTAGAATGGCCTAAATTCAAGAACACTGACAACACCAAATGCCGGTGAGGACTGGGAACAACAAGAACTCTCACTCATCGCTGGTGGGGATGCAAACCAGTGCAGCCGCTTTGGAAGACAGTTTCGCAGTTTCTTACAAAACTAAACATACCCCTATCATGTGATTGCACTCCTTGGTATGAACTAAAAAAAGCTGAAAACTTCATATCCACCCAAAAACTTGCACATGGACTTTTTAGCAGTCTTATTCATAACTGCCAAAACTTAGAAGCGACAAAATATCCTTCAGTAGGTGAATGGGTACACGAGTATAAACTGTGGTGCAGAGAGACAATGAAATATTATGTACTGGTAAAAAGAAATGATCTACCAAGCCTCTATGTTCATGAAAAAACATAGAGGAAACTCAAATGCACATTACCAAGTGAAAGAAGCCAATATGAAAAGGCTATATATGGCATGACTTCAGTAAGATAGCATTCTGGAAAAGACAAAACCATGGAGACAGTGAAACGATCCACGGTTCCCAAAGAGGTGCCCTCGGATCCAGTCAGCACAGTAGCAGCAGCCTGCTAAAACATGTACATAAGATTCAAAAATAGTATAACAAATAAATAGAAGATATAAGGAAAACCGAATAACAATTTTAAAACTAAAATACAATAACCAAAATAAAAGCTCAATGGATACCTCAACAACAGAATAAATATGACAAGAATCAGTGAACTTAAAGAAATAATAATAGAAGTTATCCAATTTGAAGAACTGAGAAAAAACAGACTTAAAAAATACCTATTCTGACTTCCTTTTCTCTGCTGGGAGGACAGGAATTCATTTCATATAAAGTGTACAATAAGAAAGAATGATAGTAAAACCTGATATAAAGTTATTATGGTAAAAATGACTAAGATCCCTATAAGAAATGAAAGCATACCTTTAAAGAGATGGTACCTGAGATTTCAATATGGGTTAACAGAAATTAGAAAAATAATGTAAGCTGTGAAATGTATATAAATTAGAATTAGAAAAACTGAATGAAATAGGTGATAGGAGAAAAAGAAAACTTGAAAAGAGAGATGATGAAACTTATAAAAGAATTTTTAAGTTTTTCAATAAAGACTAAATTAGAAGGAACACAAAAGACATTAAGCTCAATTGATAATACCTTCAGAAAGATAAAAAGTAGAAAACAAAAAATAATTAAACTAGAAAAGATGAAAAGAATTGAAGAGAAAGTAACACCCAAGACGACCAAAGATACACCAGAAGTAATATAGAAGTCCCAAAATAAGAAAATCCAAACAATGCAATGGAATAATGCTTATAACTTTTAAAAAACTTAACTGAAATAAAGAAGACAAAGCTATATACAGCACATTGCATACTTGGAAAAATCTACACAGAATGGGAAACACTGAGGTAGACAAGATTAAATGTACAAAAATCTAAAAGAGGAGGAGGAAGGCGGCAAAGGGAAGGAGAAAGGGACGAGAAGAATGAGCAAAAGAAGAAAAAATATGTTAGACTCCTAGGAAACAATTACAGAAGACACATTCTTTTCAAGATAGACCATGCTAGGCCATAAAATAAGATTCAATGAAAATGACTACAATAGCCCTGGCTGGTGTAGCGCAGGCCTGCAAACCAGAGTGTCGCAGTTTAATTCCCAGTCAGGGCACATGCCTGGGTTGCAGGCCAGTTCCCAACAAGGGATGCACGAGAGGCAACCATACATTGATATTTCTCTCCCTCTCTCCTTCCCTTCCCCTCTAAAGATAAATAAATAAAAAGTCCTTAAACAAAAGTTAAGAGATGACCTTAAAAAAATGACTACAATAGGTTTAAATTAGAACTCAGTAACAATAAGATATCTTAAATCCTCAAATATTGGTAATTTAAAAACATACTTCAAATAACTTATTTCAAAAAAATCATAAGAAAACTCAATGAAAATAAAATACAACATACTGAAATTCGTGAGATATAGCTAAAGCAGTACTTAAATATATATATATATATATATATATATATATATATATATATATATATATATATGGCTTTAATTGCCTCTATCAGGAGGAAAAGAGATTTTAATTAGTTACCTAAGTTTCCAATTTAAGAAGCTAGAACAGGAAGAATTAACCCAAAGAAGTAAGGGAAAGAATAATAGGATCAGGAAGCAATTTTTAAAAATTAGACAATAGAGAAAAAGTTGATTTCTTTGAAAAGTTTTAGAAATTCATAAACTTAGCAAGACTATACCCCAACAGTTTATTATAAAACAACAAAAATCTTACCTTGGCCAGTTCAGTAATTTTACCAAAACCAGGCTACCAAGAGGTAGCTGTGAATACACAATCTTAAGTCCACTTTGATAAAACTGAGACTCCTCAGGGAAGTCTTCTTCAGAAATAGAGCACTTATTATATCTTGGATCAGTGTTCATGTGGCAATACCATGGTTTGTCATGATCAACCTTGGCTGCATCCTCGCTTGACAACAATCTCCACTTCAAACAACTTTCGTTCTCACACTGAACCCACACTTTGTTTACATACATGTTGTCTTCCACTGAGGAATCCATTGCAGTGTTACAATAGTTTACTATAATCTTTCAAATTTTTCTTTTTCCAAAAATGCACTTAATCTGGAAAATAAATAAGAGGAAAATAAAAGAATGAGGATTCAAGAGTGTAAGAAAAGTTCAAACCAATTCCAAGAAATAGCTCTTTGACACCCTTTGCCCAACTAATCTCTATCCTATAAAGATCATACACGCTGAACATGTATATTTCCACCTACATAGAAACCAAAGAACCAAAGAGATGCATCAATTGCTTTGAGCACAAAATGCTCCAAAAGTAAATATAAGAATAGCATGGGGGAGCAGGAGAAGAATAGAGGTTAACTATAATGTCTATTACTCTACTACTATGCAGCACATGTTTGGCAGATATTCAATACTTTTGTCATAATAATAGCTAAGCCTATTGAACACTATGATCCAGGTATTACCCTAAGTGCCTTATGCACACAATGGCTATAGTCTTCCCAATAACCTTAGTACATATATTTTTAAACAGAAAACTGAAGCAAAGAAAAGTACTTTATTTAAGGGTCCAGAGCTTGTATATGGTAGAGTGGAATTTAAATGAGGGGAGTTTGGTTCCAAATTCTGTGATCTTACTCACTAAGCTGCACTGCCTCTGGATATATAGTAGCATGATTTGATGATCCCATTCTTTCTTTAACTTTGAGGAAAATAAAATGCAGTAAAATATTTCAGCATATGAAAGTTTGATATTTGTTTTAAGAAAATTAAAGAAAATTAATTTTTAATTTTTTAAAAAAGACTTGCAGTATCTAATTGTGTTCCTGTGTTTTTTGCTGCTGTATAATAAAAATAAGATTTTCTTTTCATGGTTATTTAATACACCAGCTGCGTATAAATATTTCTTGTTATAATGTTCTGGAATGTGTTGTAGAGTTGCATTAGATTAGTTTCAATTCTTGTTTGAAAGCCACAAGAAATATTTCTATTAAATTAGAAAACTGAAAAAGTTTTTAAAAATAATAAAATGAAAGAATTTATTGCATATGTAATTTTGCCTTTTATCTATTAAGTGATTTGAAAAAAAGTTCTCAGAGCTTTGTTATAAAAATTTTAAACATATAAAAAGTATTGTATGATTAAGCCCCCAGTTTCTAACTTAAATATTTGTTATATGTACACTACTAATATATAATTAACTAACACAAGTAGAACTACTCAGAGCTTATCATGCAATACAAAACCAATTTAAAAAATACTTATACTATTTTAATGAGTTAGTAGAACACTACCAGTCAAGGATAAGCACCATGTAAAGAAGCACTTAACTCATGAGTTAATTGTATATTTAGAAACTCACTCATCATATACTTTTCCAGGATAACTACCAATTGCTTTAGAAAAAATTGCCAATATATTACAATACCCATCGTTCACAGTTTTTAACCTATTAATTCCACTATGTGAATGCATCCAAAGAAAATTCTCCAGTTTCTCTCCTGTTATTGATTTCTAGTTTCATACCATTGTGGTCAGAAATGATGCTTGTTATCACTTCATCAATCTTTTTTATTCTATAGTTGTTTTGTGGCCTAATATATGTGTACTGGAGAATGTTGCATGTATACTCGTATGTTGTTGGATAAAATTTTCTCCATAAGTTCGATAGATTTTTTTCATCTACAATGCAGATAAGTCCAGTGGTTCTGTACTGATCTTGTCTGAGTGATCTATCCATTGTTGAGAGTAAGTTATTGAAATCCCCTATTATTATTATATTGCTATTTCTCCCATCAGGTCCATTCATACTTGCTTTATATATTTTGACGTTCCAACATTGGATGCATAAACATTTTCAATCCTCTTAATAATTTGACACCTTTATCACTACATAATAACCTTATTTGACTACCTTTTCAATTTTTTAGTTAAAATATATTGTTTGATAGTAGAGTATTATTTGATAGATATTACCCTTTAGTTAATTCTTTTGTGGGTATGTAGATATTTTGTTCCTTTTTTCTTCTCTTGCTCTCATCTTTTGTGATGTGATGATTTGCTGTAGTGGTATGTTTTGATTCCTTTCTCATTATCTTTAGTGTATCTACTATAGGCTTTTACTTTGTAGTTACCATGAGGCTTACAAAACATTCTATACTTATAATAGTCCACTTTAAGTAAATTTTAATAGGGTACAAGAGCTCTACACATTTATTTTCTCCCACATTTTTTTTGGTATTCTAATGTTCATTTTTTTATGTTGTGTATCCACTAAGTTTTGTGTAGTCATTTTTAATACTTTTATCTTAATATTTCTGAGTAATATGTGATTTATACACCATCATTACATATTAAAGTACCCTGAAACTGACTTTATAGTTACCATTACCAGTAAGTAGGTTTTATACTTTCATGTTTTCATATTACTAATTTGAATTCTTTAAGCTCAAAGAAATTCTTTGTAACATTTCTTGTAAGACAGATCTAGTGGTGATGAATTCCTTCAGCTTTAAATTACATTGTAATACCTTTACCTCTCAATTGTGAAACACAACTTTGTTAAGTAAGGTATTCTTGGTTGGCAGTTCCTTCTTTAAGTATTATGAGTATATCACCCCATTCCCTCTGACATACAAGGTTTCTACTGAAAAATCTTAGTCTTATGAGGGCTCCCTGATACATATCAAGTTGCTTTTGTCTTACTGCTTTCAATGTTGTGTCTTTAACTTTTGATGATTTGATTACAATATCTCAACATGGGTCTCTTAGGATTATGTTGCGTGGTGCTTTTTATGCTTTCTGAATCTGGGTATCTATTTCTCCTCCCAGTTTTGGAAGTTTTTAGCCATTATTTCATTGACTAATTTTTCTATGCCTTTCTCTCTCTCTTCTTTCTCTAAGTCTCTCATAATGAATTTATTCATCCAGAAGATAGGGTTCCATAAGTCCTTAAAGTGATCTTCATTTTTTTTTCATTCTTTTTTCTTCTCATTCCTCTGTTTGATTTCCACTGACTTATCTAAAAGTTCATTGATCCTTTCTTCTATTCTAGTCTCTTGTTGAACCTTTTTACTCAGACTTTCAGTTAACATATTATATTCTTTAGCGCTATAATTTTTAGTACTTTTTAATATTTTCTTTTTGTTAAAATTGTTCATACATTACTCCCATGACCTTGGTGAGCATCCTTATGACAACTACTTTGAATTATCTGACAGGTAAATCACTTATCTCCATTAGTTTTATCACTAGGGTGAGCTGGGGAAAGATAGCATGGAAAGTTTCCACAAGTCCACTGAGGGTCCCATAGGACTACAAATTATGTGACCCATCAGATCCCAGTACCTAATTAGAAGCCTGACCCTTGGATAGCAACTGGAAAAGTATGTCAAATCCCTTCCATAGGGAAACTGGGAGTCTTAATTTTTGCCTGCTCCCCCTGGCTAAAGCTGTGATGAGAGGATGGGGGCAGAGAATACTCACAGTATGTTAAAAATCACCTCTGTTTTCTATACAGGGACTTATAGATGCTGAGTTTATTTGAGAGCCATTCCCCTAAGTGATAGCCATAAAACTTGGTGCTAGATGTGTGGACAAGCTCCTTCCAGGGAGAAGCTAGGACCTTGTTTTTATCATTGAAGTGAGGGAAGAGATGAGGAAAGAATCCGCAAGCCCTTTCAGCCTCTGGAGGAGCCCAACTTCTAAATGCAAGTTAATTAGAAGTCTGCTGCTTGGGCATGCTAGAACAGTCTTCAGTCAAGCCTCCTCCAAGGAGCAAACTTGTATCCATATGTTATGGTCTACTCCCTCTGTGTTGAGCCCAGTGTTATAGCCATAGTAAGTGCTCACACTTCTGGTTTAAAACACCTCTTTGTTTAATGCAGTTCCAAGTCTTTGTTTCACTCACAAATATTGAACCCCGCTGGCTATCAGAGCTAGGTGATTTGGGAGCCAGACCCTAAGGTAGCAGAAATAAAAGTTGGGGAGCTAGATGTGTGGTGCTCAGGGAGAAGCTAGGAGTTGAGGGTTCCTTCCTGATTATAAGGTGCTACACTGAGGATTTATGGCATGAGTGTGTCTCAGCTTTTCCTACTCATTTCAATATAGGTATTTTCTCATTCACCTGATATGTAGAAGTCACTCAGCTAGTCTCTGTATTTCTGTCCAAGGGAACTGATTTGCATGTTGCTTACTAGAGTGTAAGGAAGGAACATTATTTTTTGTGTCCCTAGCGATGAACAAGTTGATGATGGAAAAACTGCTGTGTGTTGACCCCAAAATGCCTAAAAACTTCTTTATATGCAGAGATTTTTCATATCCCTTCCTTAATTTTGCTCTATTATGCCTATATATCTGTGAAGCATTTGGAACTAGATAAACATTCTAACAGATGGGAAAGGGATTAGTGAGCAATTTTTTTGTCTGTAACAATATATTACAATGCATTACTAGTTAAATTGAATTTATTAAAGAAACCACCAAGGTCTGCACAACTCTACTAAACAGCTCTAAACAACTTAATACAGTATAATCATTATAGATATTTGTAGCATTAAAGTGAAAATCATGAGCTAAATAAGAAAATTCTATATAGATTTTACATAAATTCTCCAAAGATTTTTTCATAATTTTATTTTTCTTTTAATTGTTCAAGTACATACAGTTTTCTACCTTTTACTCCCATCCTAGCCCACCCACCCAGCCCTCCCCCACCCTCCCATTTCCACCCCCCCCCAAGTTTTTGTCCATGTGTCTTTTATACTTGTTCCTGTAAACCCTTCCCCTTTCCCCCTGAAATTCCCTCCCCTCTCCCCTCTGGACACTGTCAGCCTGTTCTCTATTTCAGTGTCTTTGGTTATATTTTGCTTGTTTGTTTTGTTGTTTAGGTTCCTGGTAAAGGTGAGATCATGATTGTGATTTTAGAATGGTATAGCAGACCTGAAAAAATAGAAAATAAGATCAATTCTTCTGGAACTGAATATTACATAGTTCCATTGTTCAACAGAACAAAGGTCTTTAAGATGGAGTATGGCCAATATGAATCCTTGTGAAGCATCAATTTTTATTACAATACATATGCATTTTATGACTGATGC